CAATGTATTCATGCAAGGCTGCATGCGATTTGCTGCATATATATATATATAGATATAATCCCCGGCCCCTGCACAAAGAGCGAATGCAATGAATCCACACGTCTAGTGTCAATGATGAACCACAGCTTCAAATTCATTTGGGCCAGGTTGCAAATTGCCTCCATTTTGAGGAAACATCAATAACCTTCGAATCGAACGTTCTTAACCCGAGACCCCCCCCACCTCCATCCCCAAGCATCCACCGTTTGTATTATGAAAACTGTAGTTGTCAAACAATCTTGCGCCAACAACCCTGGAGTCGGATTTGGCTTTTGCCAGTTGTTTCATTTGGCTACAAGGTTCTTCTTTGAGCCTCCACACAAATAGGTGCCCATGGCCAATTTCACCCTGAAAGTCATTGGTCAAAAGACTTTGCTGTGATGATGCGCTTCCAAGTATCTCTTGGCTTTTCAGGTTTTCTTGTGGGCTTCTGTCCCTTCGACAAGGCCTGGGTGTGGTTTGTAATCCAAGTCCTTCCGATGTGTCCAGCGCGCCAGTCTGTGGTTGGTGGAAAACGCACCATCGACCCATGCGACAAGATCCACTCGGAGGTCTCGGAGAACTAAAGACGTGAGCTGTGAGAGAGAAAGAGAGAGAGAGAGAGAGAGAGGGGGAGTGAGCTTGGGTCATTTGTCGAGTTGTCCAGGTGATTCGAGAAAAATTTGATGCTCACAAAGATGGCCAAGAGGGCAGTGAGCTTCGGAACAAGTATGAGGACGGGGGCATAAACGGGGGCACTTGGAGCACTTCTAGAAGCCCAAGTGGAGCCCTTAGAGCCGCTTAGGATGGCTTAAGCCGCTTAGGCTCTATTTCAGCCCACCGAAGCGTTTTCCACTTTTTCCAAGTTGCAGGAGTACTCGATACGAGATCTGGAATTTGCCATCCAGGAGGCTGAGGCCGAACGCACTTCAGATCCTGAGCTGGGATGACAGGAGAGTTCTGAGGGATGACTAAGAATGATAGATAGAAAGTCTTTTTCTTGTAAAAGCTAGTTGTATTTCTTCATGATTCTTCATAGTGTTTGATTGAATATGCACAGGCCTACGGTCGAAGAGAGGTCGAACGGCTGAGGAAGGAACCGAGGCCGAGAGAGTCGGGGCCAACCCCTTTTGATGTGTCGATATGGCCAAGCTTTTTGGTTTCTTTGAATTCTCAGCTCACGAGGGATCAACCTCAAGAACAAGGTCCGCTCTTGCTAAGGTCTGGCTTCAATAGCCAACGGCCCTCAAATCGGAATCGCAATCCAGTGCTTCCTTAGTCCAGGCATCTGTACACGGAAGCACTTTCTGACTTGGCAGGAACAGGCGGGTGGTGTACAGCATCCTCAAAAGACCACTCAAAATAGCAATACTGTTTGGTTATAGCCCATCCTGCAGGGTACTCTACAGAAAGCCATGAGAACTGCAGCAGAGGCTTTGACTCTGCAGTGGCAGCAAATGCCACCTATCTTCACCATAATTGATGATGGCTTCCGCTGTGCAAGGGCCAAAGCGCTGTCAGCAGAAATCAATGCGAGACTCGGCAGAATTCACTGCACAGTGACATCTTCCTGACGTGTGACCCCACCTCTTGAGACTGTTCTACTAGCTTCTTGTTACTACTAGTACTGTTACTACTGGCTTCTTGTTACTACTAGTAAGGCACTTGTTACTAGTCGTGTGACCCCGCCTCTTGAGACTGTTCCGAGGAAGATCTCACAGATGAAGCGTGAAAGCCTCCACCTGGAGAAGAAGCGGGGCCAAGATGCAGTCTACCATTCAGTAGAGTGCTAAAGGAGAATAGCCAAGCTACTTCCCAGTCTGGTGTGTGCTTCAGCCTGAAAGTATTCTGGAAAATATATATAGGCTGTCCAAATGCACTTGGCCCATTTGGCATTTCACTTCAAGTCATGCTGCAGACAAGAACATGGAGACCATGGATTGTAGGTGCAAACTTGTGGCTAAGGGAAGCAGTGAACTAGCTCGACACTTAGTTTTCGTTCTGTTGGCATCATTTTGGCCAGGGCCAAAGCTCTAGAGGATTGCGATGCTCGAAAGCAGGTGGGCCTTGAGTTGATACAAAGGGGAAAGCACAGCAAAGCGTTAAAGCGTTCTCAGGAGGAGATGATGAAGCAATCCAGGGATTTGGAAGATGAGGCCAAGAAGTTTGAGAAGGACAGCAGTCACAGTCACATTGCGGATTTTGCTGCAGATTTACGCGCAGCACCAAATATTTGGGTGGGAAAGGGACATCGTGTGACTTTACCTGATTATCTCTGTCACTCGGGAGCGGGTCGAGTGTCTTGAAAAGGAATGAGTCTCCTAAAGCGGCATGAGCTCCAACAAGGGAGTCTTGAGTAATGAGTGCAAGGCAGCAAGGGCATGGGTTTTGCACTGCAATTCCCTCACTATTATATCACATATACTGTATATGTTTTGTTCTTGATTCTCACCGCACTGTGTGGTTGGCACGGTTGAGTTTTGTTTGTTTTCTCACACTGCATAGAGACCAGAGACAAGCTGCAATGATCTGCATGCTGACATAATCTTTGTAATAGAAGGATCTTCCTCCGTACTAATTGACCCTGAGGTAAGGCCCCCTTGAGGTTGAACGTTGCACAGGAGGAGGAAGAAAAAGTGAAGGCAAACTTCCGGCCGCTTGCATGTGAGGCGCCCTGAATGTGCTTCCACCGAAGAGTGGGCACGGTGGCTAGAGCAGTATTCTTATTGCTGTAGCCTCACGCCTTATCAACCACTTGTGTTGTTGCTGCTGCTCTTGGCCAAAGTACAGGTGTGCGGAACAGCTTATGTCAGCCGATTTCTCAGTTGTGAAAGCCCAGTGCACATTTGCTAGTGACCATTTGACATCTGAAGGCAGAATGTTCCCTGTTTTGAGTTTGAGGCAATTGTGAAGGAGAGTATGAAGCTCACCTCAAGTACAAGGTGCCTTTGTGGCCCAGAGCAAGCCTTGGGAACACTGTTTTGGAAAGGTACACGAAAGCTACACGGAGATTCACGCTAGACTCAAGGTGCTGAAGGAGAAGAAGGCTTGCCGCTTGTAGATTTTTAATTGGTTGGATATGGATTGGATTGAAGCTTTGCGGATGCGGATCCCCACATGATCCTGCTTGGACAATAGGCTGAGCGGGATCGCATCGCCAGGGAGAAGAAGGCTTGCTGCCCTTGCATTCAGCCAATTCAGCTGTTGACCGCTAGAGATGCAACACTTTATGGCAGGAGGAAGAGCGCAAGAAGAAGATGGAAAATGAGGTGAAGAAGGCATAGCCGGCATAGCTCCTAAGTGTGAGAACCCAACCAAGATTAATTAAGACATAGCATCATAGCTACTTGTTACTAGCAGCAATGCCAGGAGCTACTAGTAGTGTCCTTGGTCCTTGCTCCTAGTAGTAATGCCCCCTTGTTACCAGTTGCGATGCCCTTTGTTACTAGTAGCTTCTTGTTCCTAGGCATTGCTCC